CTGTAATCATTCCATAGCAATCATAACTTGTTTTACACCGCTTTTGAAAAGAAAAAATTTAATAGAACACATACTGACATTATAACTTATTATACTTCTTGCCACAGAATACAAGTTTTATTGTTTAAAATTTCAAAGTTGTTTCAGTATTTAACTATTAAAATGGTAATGGTATGCAGTTTACCTTTAATTTTAAAATAATTTAGTCACAATTACGTTTCTCCAGTGTGTTTTGGTTACTTCCATACCGAGTTAGAAAACAACTCTGCCTTTTTCCATGCTAAAAGTGAAACAATTACGTCAAACGTGGAGCTCAAACAACAAAATAAACACAATTTCGCTTCGAAAACTAAACTTCGAAACTTTGTTACTACAGTGAAATTTGTAATGTAATGCAAGTACCTATGTAGGTTGGTACGTAGGAATAAAATTCATATGTTGTTGTATGTCATTGATGGGGACACAATCGTCGAAAACCGCTGGCGGATAGAAACAAAATTGCAATTTCACAATTTTGGATTCGAAGAAAGCTATTCACATATGTACATTAGGGTGTCCGTAATTTTCCAAGTTGATTTTTTATTCAACCAGCCTCTAAAATTTTAGTTTACTTTTAATAAGTCATACTACTTTTTACATTTATTTTATATGGGATTTGGTGATCTTTTGTAACTATTAATATTTTTCCTCCAAAACAAAGAAACCCACAACCACAACCAGTTGGAACAGATGATATTCGAATATAGAATTTTAAGCTTTACAAATAATATATACATATACATATATACACATATTTTCAAAAGATATGCGCAATTGAAATTATGCATTATATATAGTCCACCATGTCGTATGAGCAACACGTAATGTATAAATTGCTTATATAAATGCTCAGTTATTTGATGTATTATTTTAAGTGCCTGTAATAGTTCTGATAAAATATTGTATTAGAAAGTCACACTTTCAAGGTTGTAGAATTACACGACTCATGCATGGGAAAAGAGATATATGTAGGAAGATTTAGGCATACTTTAAACTGAAAATAAAGTTCTTGTTTATGTAGGATTTTTGTTTTAAGAAACTTCAAGGGGGCGTTCGAAAAAAAAAACCATAAATTTTGGAAATAAGAGGAACCTTAATGTATATATCTACATATTTGTATGGTTCACTTTGCATTGGAGATAAGGGTAATTGGCAATCACTATTTCGTCACGATTCGAAACTTCGAATGATTAAATTGAAATTGTATGAACTATTGCAATTATGGATGGCTGCATAGTTAAAATAGCTTCAATTGATGACTGCTAGACGTGGCGTAAGTAAGTAATAGATAGGGACCTACTGTACGTGTCATAAGTGCGATATTGTCTATTCAAATAGAGTGACTTGTTGTCACTGGTTTGCAATAGCAATGGGTTGAAATATCTGATTAGTGGCCGAATTTGTGCAAAGCGGTGGAAAATAGTAAATGGTATTCATTTTATAGCAATGTTAATACAAAAGTCACACTATAAAGCCTCATAAACAATATGGCTTATGAATACCATGAATTCGTCGACAGATGCAACATATTAGGAGAATAAATGGCGAAATATGGTAGTCCAAGAAATATATATACATATACTTATATAAAGATATAGGATGGCATTAGTAGACAGTTTCTGAAGAAAGCTACATTTTGGAGTAGTGTATCAACTGCAACTTTAAATGCATGCACTTGAAACACGCTAGAAAGCCTGAAACTAGAGTGGATGGAGAGCTTCCAATAAAGCACTCCTCCTACCATCCCCCCTAACCACAATCCATTCGTGAAAAAGCTCACTCCACCTCTTCTTCAACCGAAAATTCGCTATCGAAGTCGCTGGCATCAGTTAAGCCTAATTTGCTTCAAACGTATTCCCAGAAGATGTTCAGTTGACCGACGATATGATTTAATTTGGGGATCATTTCGAATAAGTCTTGACATTGATCTGGCCGAAGTTTCTGCATTCTATGCTGATTTCTGCGAATGTGTTTGCTAACTGTTTTTGTTTCTGGGAATAATTTGGGAATGACCACTTTCTATACAAACGATTTTATTTATCTCGGACCCAAACTTTAACTTTTCATCGTAATTTTCTTGCCAATTTCTTCAATGTACTTCTACTTCTGCTATCAAAAATTACTTTCGCTCTGCTGTGGGGAAAGATTGAAAACTTTTTGTGGGGTATATGGTAAGAGTAGATAAGTTGTAGCGCTTATTTTTATGACTTTTAACAACTACTGTTAACTACTTAATTTCTAGTGTTATGCAAGCAAACTGTTTCTTGTGATTACTTAAAAACGCTTAGAAAGGTAAAAGGATCTTTTACTAAAATAATCTTTTCAAATAAATAAATTACGAAGGCTTCGCTGCCAGCGATTCAGCGAAAAAAATCTGAAAATCCATTCAAAGTGAAACGGTTAATATTTCATACAATAAAACCAAAAAGGGTAAAAGAAATGTGCGTATAAAATTTGTTCATCGCCTCTTTGCTACAGTGGAAAAATTCTGCTTTGCCATAAAAAAATAAATCCGCTTAATTTGCACTTTTGACCACTGACCCGAGGTTTTCTCAGAATTTACTCGTTTCCTTCTTACTGAATTCCACAAATTATTAATGAAAATATCCCTTTCAGTTTTGGTGTTGTCTATTTTTGACTGTCAATACGCTTTAAGCGCCAGTTTAAATCTAAATCGGTCTGGTTTTTATGAACTTGCGTAACTTTTTTCCTTATTCAAAGGGATACCAGGCCAACGAAACCGCTGTGAAATCAACGATTTCTGAAACCTGGACACAATATCTTCAGCAAATTTTTTCTGAGCGTGAGAGTGTACAATTTCATTGTTCAGGGGTTTTTAGACATTCTGTTTTTAGGCGGAAATAATACTAACAGTTTAATATTATGGAAAATAATTTGGCTTTATTGTAAACATAAGGATTTGGCATTACATTTTGAAGTTGATTTTGGACAAGTAACCTCCGCGGCTTGTTTGAACAAATTTCATTCGAGAGGCGCGATTTTTTTCACTTTCCTAAAAGTTTCCTTCAATTAACTGATTGCTTCTTTGGCTATTTGTGTCCGAACAAGTCATTAGGCGTGGCTAGATAGAGTTCCAAATTGACTGTAACGCTATGGCGGTCATCAAGTTTTTAAAGAAATATGCAGCAGTGACTCCCTCTGCTAATAGAGCACACCAGACAATGACTTTTTTAGTATCAAATGAACTTGAAATGCGAAGTTTATTTTTACTAACGTATCCACTCTGAAAATTGGGATCGGTGGCCATCTCGTTTCGGGCTTACTCAACAAACGAGTCACGCGCCGGATGGTCGGGGGCCTTCAATACTTGCATGAGTTGGATTTTGCTAGCCCGTAAATAAAGACCTTCCGTAAAATCTTCCAATTGTTGCACTCGTTCGCAGGTGCCTTTATTCTGCTATTCTTCTATACGTATCTGCAATATGCATTAGAGCAAAAACCCAGCTGAGAGATTATGTCAACGGAATACTGGAGGAAGGCGGCAAACGTTATTCCAGAGTAATTCTGTTGCGTATGAAATGGCAAATTAAACTGAATATAAATGAGGTAACGGTTGTCAAAAAGGCTAAGTCCAAAGCAAGAATTGTTCATTGAAAACCACATGTCTAAAACCACGCTATACCCCTGATTTTGAACTGTGAATAAAGTTTTATAAACATAATGATGGGGTTTTCAATACGGACACTACGAAAACAGACCAATAGGGACAGGAAACGATGTCATATTTTTCCCCATTCTTTTTTATATTTCTCTTCAATGATGTCTGCCGTTTGAAAGATATATGATATAAATTTTACACTTGATAGTAAGATAACGATTATTTATATTATTGTAACGTTTATCGATAATAAATACTCAGAGTATGAGCATAAACATTCGAAGTATTCGTAATTAAGGCAATGCAAATGAACATTTGATGGCATGAATGAATTTTCAAAACAGCTGATTGCTATTCGTGTGATTGAGTGAGAGAGCCAGAGAAAAAGAGTAAGGGAGAGTCAACATATTTCGTATTTGTCTCAGTGAAAATGTTGCTAACCATGAAATGCTACTCAAAAGCAACATGAATCAGGTGTCATAGTGAAAATTACATGTCACTAGAAAAGAGATGCTATAGAAAATATTAAGGAGGTCATTATTTATTTAGAATGACTGGTCAACTTCAAATGAGGTATGTTTAAAAACTAACGAAAATGTTTGAAAAAAAAAAATTTGAATTTATCTACATTAATATTGCTGCCTACAAAATAAATCTATAATATAAAAAAATAACTAAAATAAATATTATGCGCTTATGCCAGGGCTTCTTCCAATCGTCGAAACATTTCTAAACTCCTGTTTTTGATAGCCTTTAGCTCTTCAAGCGATTTCCATTTATTTTGTAAAACGATGGCCTTTTAAAGTTTTCTTTAATATTGCAAATAGAAAAAAGTCCCATGGAGCCATGACAAGGGGCAAGATAGGAATATGAAATTTGAAACAAATATAATAATGCTTTAAAAAATCAAATAAATTTCATAAGAGCGTAACAAAACAATTTTGAAATGGGATAATAAGGCTGTTGACTTAGATCTCATTGACTTAGATCTCATCGTTAACGTTTTCCAAGTGTGTTTTGCAAACAATTTATTTACAAATGATTTCTTATGAAATATAAACTTGGACTTTATTCCTCTTCTTATGCTACCATAATCTACAGCGAGAAAGGTATCCGTTATGTATTATATTTTTCATAGCAAGAAACCCTTCATTCGAATACGAGATGCTTGTTCGAAAACATGCTCACACTCGCTCGTATTTTGTAGCTCCCCATAAAACCTCTATTGCGGTTGCGCTGTGCTCCAACAATATTCGAGCAATCACACATATTCATAGCTAAATGCCGGTGGTTAAGGATCTTCGAATTTGTATTTGTCAACAGTTGGCTTCCAACCTCCGAGAGCGTCAGTTCGTTTGCGAAGTGTGTGATAAGCGAATTCAGACGTCAAAAGTCAAAACGAAACGGAAAAGCGTCAACGAACCGATGTGCGAAAGGCTACAATGAAATTAATTATATTTTGTGACTCGTCATTTTACAGTACGTACATAAGAGAAAATCGTATAAATAAAATGAAATAAATCAAAATTGAGTGGAGCGATGCGTTGAGCGGACTGTTATTGTTTTTTGTAATGAGGGTTTATTCAAATTTTGTGTAAAATGAGAAAAAGCCCGAGGTGGCGATCAGCTATGCAAATTAATCCGATCCTATGTCAACGGTATTCATTATCTTTGTTTTTGTTTTATGAATAATGTGTTGTGATTTTGACATTGTTGCAAAGGCGTTTAGCGGTAGCTTGCTCGTTAATAGATCAGGGAAGCTTGTATTGTAGTAAACTTGGATGTATTTAAATCTACAAGTCAGTTTTTGGCTTTTTGCTAAAATACTTTTGTAAAAATTATTATTAGTTAATAAAAAAACATCTTTAATAGTTGCCAAATGCTTCATATAAAGCTAAAAAAACACGCTATAGTCTGTGGAATTTTGATATATATTTATTTTAATAGAATATAATACAGTATAATCTTGTGTTCATGGCATTGAGTGAGTTGATTAAAGAGATAAAAGAGTGTTCCTCAACGCTTCTTCATTCATATATACAAACATACATATGTATGTGTACTTATTTGATGCATATATGTAAGTGGATAAATACTTTTATATGAATCTGTGGTCACACACCCACCAATATACTCACATATACGCATAAAACTATCGCTTGCAAATGCTGGAAATATAAAAAAGTGGATTGTCATGCGGCGTAAATAAGGCAACAATAAACGTGAAATAGGACATAATAATTTTAAGTAGCGGCAGAAAATCAAATTAAATTAAGTCTCATCCGAAAAGATATACTTGAAATAGCATAACATCTGCACATAAGCATACATATTTACCATATACATATATTTACAGTTTAAGTGTTACTATGTAAGTGTGTA